CTGTTTTCCTGCCTTTTCCATATGACTCTATTCCCTTACAAATAAAAATTTATCCATCGCAGCCTGAATACACTGAACGACCCAACCTCCACAGGTCTCTGCAGTAAAGCATTCCACAGTTACAATTTCAATCTCATAGCTTTCAAGTTGATGGCCCCTTCTTCTCAGATAATGCCTTGAGAGTTTGGAATCAATCTCAGCATCTATGCTGTCAAGTCCTAAGACTCTTGTATGTGTCAATAACATCACCTCTCATTCTTCTAAACTCCAATACGTACAAACCAAACCTAATTGATCTCACTTCAAAACAAACTCACCATACCCAGAACAACCAACTGAACCTCCTCTGGACTGCCTCCAATACTAACACGTCTTTCCTTAGATAAGGGGACCAAAACTGCTCACAGTATTCCAGGTATGGTCTGACGAGTGCCTCGTTTAGTTTTAGCAAGATTTCCCTAATTTTATATCCATTCTGTTTGAAACAAAGGCCAATATTCCATTTGCCTTCCTTATTACCTGCTCACCTTGTTTGCTAGTTTTGTGATTTATGCACAAGGACCCCAAAATACCTGTCCTGCAGCATTTGACAGTCTTTCTTCACTTAAATATTCGGTTGCTCTATTCTTCCTGCCAAAGTGCATAACCTCAAAATGTTCTGCCATCGTATTCCATCCAAGTTTTTGCCCACCTACTTAACTTGTTTATATCCCTTTATATATTAAGGTCATCCTCACTGCTCGCCTTCCCACATACTTCTGTGTCACTCACAAACTCTGCTACGGTATGTTCACTTCTCTTATGTCATTAATGTATATTGTAAATAATTGTAGATCCAACAGATTCCTCCAGCACTCCACTAGTTACATACCATACTGAAATGGCATCCTTTAGCTAATCCTCTATTCATGCTAATACACTACCCTCAATACCATGGACTCTTACCTTACTAAGTAACCTAACAAACAGGACCTTAGAGAATGCTGTTTGGAAATCCAAATACAACGTTTCTTCCACAGGAAGGGATTTGAAAAAACTGACTAGACATTACCAGAATGTGCTAAAATTCATTAAATAAAAAAGAAGTTACATCTGTAATGAATGCCTAATAGAAACAAGTAATTAGAAAAATTCAGATTATTTTAGCAGTCTTGAGTTATGTTAGCATCCAAAATGGAAGATTCATACTTTTAGGTATCTGTGTAATGAAATGAGGTAGCGTTTGTTCTCTTATACAATGAAGGTTTATTGCTGAAGTTGGTGAGTAGGTGTCTTGTGTACGGATCTATCTAGTTCTGTGTTTCTCACTTCTGTGCATGCTGTCATTGATCAAAACAAAACCTGGTTTGTTGGAGGAGTTAGCAGCATGATTGCTGTTCTGCACTATGAACAAAGACTTCTTGTTCCAAACAAACTCAAAATCAGTTTTATAACTAGCCTTGGAAAAATATTGAAGCTGTGCACAATTTCTGTGTCCTGCATTGTGAAGAAAGATTCCTTCCAGACACAGAGTGGTGAAACAGTTAACAAACACTTAATTTGTTCATTTCAGTTTCACCTCCTCTCCACCTCGCCAAAATACCAAGTATTTAACTCATGGCACGATGTTATCCACATTGCCAAGCTCAGCAACAGTCTCAGTATTGCAGTACTACAGGCAAAAATGAAAAGAGGACTACGTTCAGCAAGGATATTTTGTACTTTGGTACAGAAATATAACACAAATAATGGGATAACATACTTTAAGTAATTAAATAATTTTGCCAGTATGTATATTCTCACCTGGAGCTTTTCTTTAATTACCACAACTGTTTCTACAATATTCCGATTTTAATTAAAAGCTTTTTGTTTCAATTAATTTTATTCTGGAATGTTAGATTTCCTATTGGCCAATCTTAGCATCAACAATATAATTTACTTATAACAACTAAAAATAATTCTGTGGAACAAATATCAGCTTTTTGGAAAGTTCTGAGGAAGGGCCACCAGACCAGAAATAGATTTTTCCTTCACAGATGATGCCAGATCTGCTGAGCTTTTCCAGCGACTTTGTTTTTGATCAGCTTTTTGGAGGGGAGGAGGGTGTGAGAGTTTAGCGGAGAGAGAATTCTGATAAATGGTCTTTATATACACAAGCTTCCTTTGAAAAAACAGAAACAGTATTATTTTACAACTGTAAATAAATAGAATTAGTATTTTACACAAATACGACTAACTAAGCACACCACTGTGTCATGCAAGGCACTTGAGTAGTGCAACTGCATGGGTTCACAAGCCACACAGAAAATCAGCACAATTGTCTACCTGCCAGAGAATAATCTCATGGCCCAATTACTTTTTACAACATCTAAGAATGATGCTTAAAGTGCAAGTGAGACAAATTCCAGGCAAAGGAACACAGGCAAGATGAATTCTCTCCAAATATTTGTAAGAAGTGTGCAAGAGTTCTCCTTTACTGTGAGGCTGAAAGTCAGAATTCAAAAGAAAGGCATTTTGCCAATGTAGTATACCAGTTTGGCTAAACAAGTATAGCTTTACATTACTTTTCAAAAAAGGTCAACCAACACCATAACAGGTAAACAACTTCACTAAGTGGTGAACAGTCTAAAGACAGTGTGCCAGCCCGTTCTTGTAACGTCTATGAATCTGTATCAAGATAGAGAAACATCACTCATTTTACCAGGGCATTATCATCTGAACACATTAAATAAAAGCAATGTCTGAAAGCTAATTTTACATTGCAAGTTCTTAAATGGTGAAAAGTTATAGTAACTTTATATAGGCATTAAAATGACAAATGCAAATTTGAAGTAATATACTGCAAACTCAAAGTCCCCAAGAAAATAACAGAACTTTTGTTCCACCAGGCAGAGACCAAAAACTTTGCATCAGCAAGATTGAAAATATACCAGATCAAAATCCAAAGTACTGCAAATACTGGAAATCAGAAATAAAAACAGAAATTGCTGGAAAAGCTTAGCAGGCCTGGTAGCATCTGTGGAGAGAAATCCAAGTTGACTCACTGGACCCAAAACATTAACTCTGATTTCTCTCCACAGATGCTGCCAGACCTGCTCCGCTGTTCCAGCGATTTTTGTTTTTGTTTTTGAAAGTATACTACTCTGGGTGAACAGATTAAATAGAAAAGGTTTATGGCAATGTCAGGTTTATAATAAAACAAACTCAAGCAGAACACAAAATGCAGCAAAGAATATAACAAGTAAATAAATGACAGACAAAAGATTTGCAATGAAAGATTACCTGCTAACATAAAAGAGAGGTTTTTTTTTAAGAAGATCAACATTGAAACAATAATCAAAGGAAGGCTAGCCACCAATCCCTTTTCTGGTGCTGTATGATTCTTATTCCTTGTACAATGTAGTCACACATGATTCTTATTTGATATTGTTAGGTATAAATTTTGTGCAGAGTAAAATTCACTTTACAATAAACTCAGACTGCATTCAGAGTATGCATTAGTGTAACTAGCAAATCCAAATTTAAATAGTAAAATTGTAGATTCTGTGCACTTCTTAACGGTTGCAAGATGGTTCTGTCCATATTTGTATCAAGATATTTGTACTGTTACTAATTTACATAAGCCTACTATTCCACTAAGATGGGAGAAGTCAAGTAATCTGCCCTGCTAGAGCTCAAATTTAGGCCAGTAATTACACCACTAATGTTACATGTACAGCAAAAATACAAATAATTGCTGGTAGAAAAATAGCAATGGAGAGAATGGAACTGAATATCATGGCCATAAACATCCCCAGCACATTCACTGGACTATAATACAATCTCCATACATCACAAAATCATCCACACTGCACATCGTTTTATAAAACCTACATAATTGCATGAATGACGTTTAGTTTTTCTTTACCTTGATGATTCAAAAAGTTTATTATTATGCTATTTTATTATTATACTTTCAGATCGACGGACATATCTTCATCCACAGCCTCAAAGCACAGCATGTTACTGTAACCATTACTGGTGGAGGGGGGGGGGCGGTAAATAATCAAACATACACAGAAAATGCAAGAAACACACCGCTGGTGACAGCGCGTCTTTTAGAGCGAGAGAATTAATTAACGCTGCGCGTAAGTAACTGCTCATCAATGACATTCTGAAGTTTACTCGCTCCGCGGATTCTTTCTGCTTGAAGCTTTCGAGCTTTTTTTTTGTTCCGATTTCACTTAAGGCATCTGTGAAAAAAATGCAGCTTTGGCCAGCATCCCGCAGCCCAAATCAACAGTAAAGTCGCATGTTTTATTGTTATTAAAAAGGAGCCCAGAAACTAAAGTTATTCTTTTAAAAACAAGTAAACTACCACGACAAACTTCACTGGCACATATCCCGAGACTGCGCTGAACACAGATGACATCAAGTGAGGATTTAAACCCGCTGCAAAAGTTGGTGAATGCGGATTCTGAAATCTAACGATATTAGCTTTTTTTCGAAAAAAAAGCTAAATGACCCACGGCTGGGGAACCGAGTTATAGTTTGTGCACAAAGCCCAACTAGAATCGGACAACTCTAGCAACTCGCAGTATTCGCGGTGGAAGACATCCAATTTGTCTATACTCCTAAAGCAATACAACGCGCCCAATTAATTAGAAACAACTACAATTTTGTGGCAGAAACAAATAAGAAGCGAACGCTGCATAAACTCAACTTCCGGCATTTGAACCATGCCTCGCTCCAACAGAATTTTAAAATACAAGTAAACTTGCTCCTTGGTCCACGGTTGTTCTCAAGGGATATGTTACTCAAGAAGTATCTTATTAGAGGAGTTAAAGTACTTTAAACAGAGAAATGAAAGAAAACCCTGTGGAGGCGCAAACTAACGGACAGCACAATTTGCAGCTGGCTCCCCAGTACCGTAACATAAAATGAAAAACAAAACACAATACTTCTTTAAAAACACTCAAATTACAGTCAAACCGTAACGAGGATACAAAGTATTGTTAGTACGTCCAGTGCCTGTTACTTACTCTCCGCCAGGAGGAGGAAAAGCCCAAATTGCATCCACGCCCAACACCCTCCCGCCATCTTGAATGCCGCTGTTCGGGAGGCTAGTGCGCCTGCGTAGAGATTTTAGCCTGGCCATCACGATGCAGTTACCCCGAGCGACAGCACCATGACAACGGGGAACCATAGCAACGGAGCACGGAGGGGCGAAAGGGGGACGTTTGATGGATCAATGGATGGATGCTGTCACTCCGCAAGGCAGGTAAGGGCAGGCAGAGTCAGTGGGGGCAATCTGGGGATATTTTGTTTCCAACATCCAAACTAAAATTCGTAACTGCGATTTTCTTTTTATAGTTCTTCACAAATTTTTTACAGCGTTTGTGTCCCTTTCAGGCAGGGGAGTTTGAGCCTGGGCGAAGCATTTTCTACCCGTTTAGTCTCAACCATGAATGGCAGGTGTTCTCATTTAGAAATAAAACAATGTGCCAGTTAAAAATGATATTTATCATGTCAATAAACTACTCAATATTCCTGTCAGCACAGTCTATTTCCACCTCTGTAAGTCTCAGCTCATCTGTTGCTGAAACCCTCAGTATTGTTTTTGTTACCTCATTCTTGACTATTCTGCCATACTTCTGGCTGGTTTCCCACACTTTACCTTTTGTTAGCTTGAAGTCATCCTACGCTCTGTTGTCTTACCTTGCAGAAAGTCCCAGTCCTCTATTAATATTGTACTTGCTGACTGACACTGGCTGCCTGTCAAGCAACATCTTGATTTTAAACTTCTCATCCTCATTTCCAAATCCCTCTTAGGCTTCATTCCTCCCAATCTCCTCAATCACCTCCAGACCGACAACTGAGATATCTGTACTCTTCTAATTTTGCTGTGTGCGTACTCCAAATTTTAAATGCTCCAATATGTCTTCAGTTGCCAAGATTCCAACCTCTGAAACACATTCCCTTTACCTCACTTTTCACCTTTAAGACATCTTTTCTCCTTTATAATACATTTCTTTCAGAAAACTTTTGATCACTTGCACTAATGCTTCTTTATGTAGCTCATTGTGACACTTTATTTAAAATAGAGGGTTGGTCAACTGAGTTGGTGAATTGATGGTTTGCAATGCAGAGTGAAGCTAACAGCACAGATTCAATTCCCCCACCAGCTGAGTTCACCACAAGGCCACCCAACTTCTCAACATCGTCCCTCACCTGTGGGCATAGTGACCCTCAGGTTAACCTTAACACTGGTCATCGCTCTCTAATGAGAGAGTAGCCTTATGGTCTTCTGGAACCATGGCAACTTTACCTTTTTTAAATGCTCCTGTAAATGCCTCAGGCATTTTAAAACATTAAAGGTGCTATATAAATATGTTTTGTCACTGTAAACTAAACATTGAAAGGAAAATTAATAAATTAAATTAATTATCTGTTCCCTGTGTTGATGAAGCACTGCAGTAGGCTCTTAATATTTCTTAATTCATAATGACAGATGTCATTAACAGAAGGCATTAACATAAGGTCAGAAAAAGCAACAACATTATTTGTACATTCAAAACTTTGGCAGGAACAGGGTGAAGGGATAATATTGCAGCTTCAAGTTTAACCTACTTGTTTCTTTGCTGCTGAAAATACATTAAAATGGTATTAATCCTGATAAGTAATATATCCACACCATAAAACACAGATAAATATGTAGCACAGAGGACAAAAAATAAAAAGTAGACTTTTGCACTTAATACTTACACAATGTTAAAAATAGGACTGCAGACTAGAATCCAATGGGTGACAATGCTAAGAGTTGACACATATATGAGATTTTTAAACTTCGGATGAGGAAATATTTGTGGGTATTTCTTTTAATATTAATTTATTTTGTGCAATGTAATATGGAAAGATTTGTGAAGTATAATATTTGTGCAGACATGGCCTATTCCTTCAAATATGAGGAATTTTGTGTCTGCTGATGCAAGCTGCTGGATTCTATTCCAGCATTTGATCAAATATCAAAAATGAAGTAGATTAGTATAAATTTAGTTAGCAAGCTAGTAGACTAAGTTTAAGTGAAGTATCTAGAGGAATTTGAAATAAACATGCCCCCATGTATTCCAGTGAATAACAGAAAATGGTAACACAGTAAATCTGAGAAAAAAATCTTCTAGCATTTATATTGTTTGGCTAGTATCATTATTAAAAAGAGTCTCAGTTAGATTGAATACTTATGCAACAAAACATGCTATAAATTACTTTCCAAATTGTCTGACAAAATGAGCACAAATTATGAATGAGTCAGATGAATTGGATGTTTTTATCTTAACTTGTCATGAAACTTTGAGGTAGCAGAAGAAAACAAGTGTCATTCTTTAAAATTTTGTTAAAGATTGTACATGATTCTGGTTACTCAATTTTCTTTTGGATATCAGGAACTTACACAGGGGCATGACTAATTCTACATAGTGTAGATATTTCACCTATACTCAGTCAACAAGCTTGCTATCTAAATTTATATTAATTTTCTTCATTTAGACTGAACTTTTGATATTTGCTCAAATGCTGGAATAGAATTCAGCAAGCTGCATGTTTCTCCAAGTAATGTTAATTTGGTGTTTTGATGTGTACTTTTTAAAATGGAAAAATAACATTAAAATGTTAGAGTTTATTATGCATAGATATTACCAATATTAATTTCTCAAGGAGGTGAGTGGTGATTTTGTTCAAACTTTGCATTTTGACTAATATTCAAAACATGTAATTTCTCAGGAAATGTTTTAATCTTGATTTCTGCATTCCATTTGAATATATTCTGACCCAATTTCAGTATTAGTCATTTTAACATTGGATTCATGATTTAAAGCAATTGGCAACAATTGAATCAGTGATTATAATTAGAAGTCATTTAAGGTAAAGATCCTATATAAATTCAAACTACCAACTCCTTATAGTTCACTGATGCATAATCAGTCTCTACTTTTGTAATCAACAATTTTTTTAATACTTTCTAACCCTCTCCTAACCAAAGTGTTAGAAATTGTATTTATATTGTTTTCCAAAGTAAAAGTAGCACAATCAGGCCATTGATTTTGATGCTATCCCTCAGAACAGGTCCAGTTTAAAACCTAGATTATGTCAGAGTAACAATTATCAATGTAGATATCCCACTTCATTTATATTGTCCTTTTTGCAGTGGAAACTAGTTCATAAAACTTGCAGGTATGGATGGTATTTGTAAATCAACACTTAGAATAGCTATTATGTACAACACCATCAATTGTTTGAAATATGATCCAATAATTCACTCTTTTTATTGATTTTGTGATATGTAATCATCAAGCACTTTGTTTTCGAAGTATGTTTTCATGAATATCAAGCAAATAGTAGGTTCTGCTTTGATAGAATAAAGTATATGAAAGGCATAGAAAAAATGTTTGCCTAACACCAAACAATAGAAATAAACAGTGGCTCTAACAACATTTGTTTGTATAAATTGTTTGTCACAACAGTATCTATGCTCAAATTATTTGCCTTCATTTCTTCGTAGATGCTGATTTATCTGTTGTGCATTTTGTATATGTTCAGTATTTAGATCATGTTTCCAGTGTCTTCAGTTCTTTTCCTTTTTAATTGTACCATTGATGGCAATATTTGAGAGGAATAATTGCATGCAGGGAGTATGCTTAGTTGAATCACTATTTAGCTAGATTGTTTCCAAGCAACAACAAAGATAGAAAGGAAAACTCCTTTTGTTGAAACTGAACTAAATAATAGACATATTAAGTAAAATAGTGGAATAGAGATGACCTTTCAATACTTCAGAATTATTTGTAATATTTAGGGGTAGGAAATTATTTGTTTACAATGTAATGTTAATTTTTAAAATCTAAAATAATCATTTGCCTATAACAGTACAATATTAACATTATTATCAGCATAAATCAGGTTGTTATTGTATTTTGTTTATTTTTGAACATTCTTGTGTTGTCCACATCCTGTGATTTGCTTTCCAGCATAATTTAAAAGTCAAGTTTGTAATCCATTCTCAAAATAAGGAGTAATATTCCTTCTACCTGAACAGCTTTGCTTTCATGAGTCACAAATGCAGTGCATAGCACTTCATCTACCTGTAAATTCTTGAGTAACCAGATGCATGTTAATTCTGTAAAAGCAGGATCAAGCAAAGCATTGTCACATACAAGTGTAAACATGTCAATCTTGCCATACATTGACTAATGTCAGAGGACATAAGCTGAGCTTTGCTGCAGGTTTTTAACCTCTAATCCCCATGTGAGTTCACATATTATGATTAAAGTCCTCTAATACCTCAGATTTACGGTCTTCCTTGGGGAAAGGATGTCCTTTCAGGTCTAATCGTGGCTAAAACTTAATGAAACTGAACATGACCTTGTATCATCTTGGATGTTTATCAGAAAGGAAGTCTTGTTTAAAAGTAGCTGCTGTGCTTTCATGATGCTTCTATCAGATAATCAAATGTGTTTACCGCTAACTTAATCAAGTGTATTCTTTTCAAAATGAAACCATTGAGAATCGGTTTGAACAAAACTTTCTTTGAAATTATTGGGTTTATCAGTGCCATTCAGAATACATGATTAAAAGATTGGATGATCCATCGTGGCTTCCCCGAGGTCACTAGCATCACAGATGCCAATGTACAGCTAATCCGTTCCACTGATGTCAAGAAATGGTTGAAGGCACAAGGTACGGTAAAGGCTTTGGGCACAAACAGTATTCTGACAATAGTACTGGAATCTCATGCTTTGGAATCAGTTGTGTCCCTACCCAAGTTGTTCCAGTGTAGCTACAACACTGGCATCCACCCAGCAATGTAGAAAATTGCCCAGATATGTCCTGCTCACAAAACTAAAACAATAAAATAAATTCCAACCCAGCCAATTCCCACTCATCAGTCTACTCTTCGTTGTAAACAACATGATGGAAGGGATCATTGATAGTGCTATCAAATGGAACTTGCCCAGCAATAATCTGTTCACAGACGCTCAGTTTGGGTTCTGCCAGGGCCACTCAGCCCCTGACTTTATGACAGACTTGATCCAAACATGAGGCTGAGTACCAGAGGTGAAGTGAGACTGACTGCTCTTAATATCAAGGCAGAAGTTCACTGAACATAAAACAAAAACAAAATGCACTGGAGAAAC